TCAAAATTCCCTTGATCTTTTGACATGTAAGAGGTCATTGTACTATTTAAACATCCAGTAAGTTTCAGAACTCAAAACTTTCTCGTTAGTCTAAAAACAGCGTCCATCTATGAAGCATGTAGGATGTCAAACATACACAGCTGTTAGCCAATCATAGCAGTGGGCGTTTACTTCTGAGTCTACAATCCACCACGCCTATTCAAACAGAGCGCTCCGATGAGGGGGTCAAAACAGGACAGAAAATAGCCTATTATTTCTAAATTATGATGTTTTTTGACGTTAAAATCTTGATAACATTATAAGTGGACTTCAGAGAACAGTACAAAATAATTTAAAAAGGCAGTTCATGACCCCTTTAAGTATTCTGAGAGCTCCCTGCAGAGATATTTTGAGGTGATTTGTTCACCGGGACGCTCTGATTGGTGGAGCTTTTTGCTGAATTGTGGGAAAAGTAGTTTTTTCACCAGGCATTCTGCTTATAAAAACAGTCTTTAAAAAATAAGTTAAAATAATAACTGATGGTCTCAACCTCAACAAAAGCATATACCATTGATTAACGACCTCAGAGCGCACAGAAGTTCTGTCTTTAAAGGTTTAGTTCAAATCAATTTCCCTACTGAGAAAATTATTGAATTTTTTATCCTGACCAATGCATGCTATTATTTAGACACATTTCCAATAAACCATTCCTTAGTTTGTATTCAACCTGGAATATTCTTTCACAATAAAGCTTTAATGAGATTTACACCAGCTTGTGTCACCCCAGAGAGTTCAGTGTGTGTTTCTATGTGTAAACGACTGTAATCCTTCACAATGTCAGCAGAATATATAGAGTTCAGGATGGTATAGAGAGGGTTCAGGCACTGCAATTCATATTTAATTAGTTGTAAGTGGGAAAAAGGAAATACTGAGGGATACATATTAAATGCATCATTTTCTGAGCATAACCTTGTCTATTTGCTATCTGCAGATTAGGCATATTAAACAATGAATATGAATCATGAATATACTTTAAATCTTTGTCTAAATGGGTTGACAAAGAGATGAGCATGAGCTTTTATAAGATTGCAAGACACTGACTCATTACACATTACTTTTTATCATAAGAAAAATTACCGATAGGCTAATCCAAAAGGTTCTTTTATGTAAACCATACCTGTGTATTTCAGAAAATCACGCTACAATTTCAAGTGATTTAGGGCCCTCCATCGCACAGCGCGATGAATCACGGACCCAAGGGACCTGATGCCTGAAATAGGGCTTCATACAACAGCATTCAAACCACATACTTCAATGTGCCTATTCTCTCATTTGATGAAACTCCACACAGCCGTTTATAATGTAGCCTATTGAACACGACACTATACCAGAGAGAATAACGGACACGACGGCTGTCTCAAATACTAGCGAGCTGCCTACACAGACAGCGTTTATGGGGATCATCTGCTAGTTTTATTTCTTCGAAAGGCGCATATGAAGCCCAAAACGCGCAGCATATGATTATAACGGGCAAAACTGCAGCACGCGACTACAGACATCACGCGCTTTTGATGCCTAGGTAGGCAGCTTACTAGGATTTGACACAGAGTCTGAATATATGACTATATATAGATGGAATAAGGATGAGCATTGAAAAAATAAAATTAACAACATAAAATTCATGAATGGTCGTATAATTCGCTTTAATATGTCATCGTCTCTCAGTCGTTTTATAAAAAATACCTTTGATTTAAATAAGTCCTCCAGCTGCATGAATTACCAAATACAAAAATAGACATTTTTACCGTGTTTTTCCGACGACATCGCGTTTATTTATCCGTTTCGACGATGTTCAGTTTGTCCCTCCAGTAATAAAAACCCAAATCCAACCAGTGCGTCTGTCTTTGTGTCAGATCACAACAGACGATGCTGATGATTTCTCCAGGCTAATTATAACGCATCTTCAGATGGCAATCCTGATGTATGCTGTGTAAAGGCTGGGTGATCTGGGTGTAAAAGCGACTGGATGTCTTTTGCTGCTGTTTTCCACGACAACATCCAGAGCATCAGCAGCAGCAGAAAAACAGGTTTCAACTAACGCATCTAGTTACACTGAATTAACCAGAGCGTCTTAAAGAGACAGCATCCATGTCGCACATATCACACGTTAACATAATTTCAAGAATACTAAAACTAATAAAGTGTATTTACAAGAAGAATTTAAGAGGCAGAAATTAAGAAACAGAAAAAGAACGTAAGAACGCCGAATAATATGGTTACCATGGTAACTACAGTTTCCGATAAACTACCATCATTACTAACTGTTACAATAAAACTGTGGTATCTTGACATATTGAAATTAAATTATTACAATCACACATTGTTTGAAGGAGATACCATATTAAAGATGGCTTTACCATAGCATCTATAACTGTAGTATGGTACTTTGGTTTGTATGCAGCTTTAATTTTTTTTTTAACGTAAATCTAAAAATCAAATCTCAAAACATTTTCATATTTTCTGAAATTTAGACAAAAAAAAACTTTTATTAATATGAAAAGCTGGCCTATATTGACTGCCACAGTCACAATGGTGATGCATTTGTGAAATATTCATAATGTCTCTATTATAAAATGTTCATTTATTGAAAGCAGAATAATACATAAGTTGATATAAAATTCGGGAAATGCGGGAAAGAAATCAAATATTCAGGATTGGGAGGTTTCATCCTAAATTATGTGGCTATAGCCCTGATTGATCTGAGGGCTTCTTTATGATTTTTTAAATTTATTAACTATATTTAATGATAAAAAAAATGGGGGCAGAGGGTTATAAGAGAGAGCAAGAATGCAAAAATGTAGTGCAAATAGAATATATAAAGAAAAGTCCTGCATGACAAAATAAAATAAAAAATATATATAATAATAAAAAATGACAGCTAATGTGAAAATAGCAATGATAACGACACAAACATAAAAGAAAACACCACTGCAGTCCTTATTAAAATGATCACAAAGCAAAAGCACTATATAGTTTCCAGTTTTTCTGACAATTTGGATGAAACCAGTGTTCCACATACAGCTCATTTTATTGCTGTACATTTAATTACAGTTATGACTGATGTCAACCTCCATTTCATATTGAGATCACAATTTTGGTCAGGTGTGAATTACTCCTTCACTCACACATGCATACTCAACTTAATGTAAACATGCACTCAGTAATTCAAGTAGCCTACAGTCTCTCAGGTCCATATTCTGTACGCTCTATTTTATATCCCAATCAACACGCAAACACATTCTGTCTCCCTCTCTCTCAGTGAGTGTAGAGCGAGGCGGTGAACACAATGTCTCTGCGTATGGCCAGCGAGGCTCTTTCCATCTTGCTGCCCAGGACAGAGTCACCCACAATGCGCGCAGCCTGTCTCACTTCCTTCAGGACCTCGTCCAGCCTCTGGATACAGCGTACGATCGTCCCCTCCTGCACATCCGTCAGCTGGGCAATCTCAGCAAACGGCTACCAAACACAAAAACACACCAGCATTATTGGGAGCTATGGAGAAATATGATTTTCTCTCTCCAAATAGGAATATAGGTTATCAGTTTATTTTGATCAGACATTATCACTGCATTACAAGAATATAAATATTTGTGCAAAGTGATATTATTAGCTAGAGAAGCTACATTTAATATATATATCAAATGTATACACACACACAGATAGATAGCAAGATAGATGGATAGATAGCTGGATAGATGGCTAGATAGATAGATAGATATTTTAATTTTCTGAAGAAATTTGAATGAATCGAAGTTTCATAATTAGGTCTTCCTTAAAGGATAAATCAATTTGTCTCTTTGATATTATTATATAAAAAATATAATATCACTTGAACTAAATGAGCACCAAATTAAGGGCACTGTGACGGTTGGATCATTTGTTTTAAGGTCAGTGCTCACCATGCCTCTTGCCCAGCAGTACACAACCTCAGTCAGGCCGAACTTGAACTGGGCCACAAAGTCTTCAGCAGTCTGAGCTATCCCACAATCCATCTGCAGCTCACCAATACGCTGTGCCACACTGAGTACTTGATTGATGCCCTATGAAAGCAAGAGAATGGGAGAAAAATGATTTATACTTATATATCATACATATAAATTCTATGTATAAATTATAAAAAGCTTGGGGTCAGTAATTTTTAAAAAGAAATTAATACTTTTGTTCAGCATGAGCACATTTAATGGATCAAAAGTGACAGTAAAGACATATCTAATGTTACAAAAGCATTCTATTTCAAATAAATGCTCTTCTTTTGAGCTTTCTATTCATCAGAAAATCCTGAAAAAAAAAATGTAACCCGGTTTCCACAAACATATGAAGAATTAATAATAATCCGAAATGTTTCTTGAGCAACAATCAGCATTATTAGAATGATTTCTGAAGGATCATGTGACAATAGCCCCTTTCACACAGCAATACCAGTAAATTGCAATAAAATTACCGAACGACTTTACCGGTAAATACAAAAATGCGCTGTTCACACGGGCAATGACATTCCGTCTTTTTACCGGTAAAGCACCATTCACAAATCCGTTTTAAAATACCGGTAAATTCTGTGACATCATTAACCAGAAAGGACCTCTAAACGGCTGCGCCTCCCGGTGTTGTGTTTGTAAACATGGAGAGGAAAACATGGTTAGAGCTTTTGTTGATGTTTTCATTTTTGTGTCAAATGTTCACATTCATGCAGCTGCTTTTGGCCCAGAGACATCGTATTAGACGACTTCAGACATTTCTTTGACTTGCGTCATCTGCGTCAGAATGTTATGATTGGCTCAGAGTAGACGTCTTAAGTCAGCGCGTTCTGAACTCGTACGTGCTCATACCGGTAATCATGTGCTGCTTTCACACAGAGCGCATCACCGGTAATTCACTGGTAATGTTACAAATTCTCATACCGGTAAATTGCTGGAACAAATTTACCGGTATTTTTTGAAAAGGTCCTATTCACACACGATCTCTTAACAGTAATTTACCATTAAAGACTGTATGTGTAAAAGGGGCTACTGAACACTGGAGTAACGATGCTGAAAATTCAGCTTTGCATCACAGGAATAAATTACATTTTTAAATATATTCAAATAGAAAACAGTTATTTTAAATTGTAATAATATTTCACAATATTAAATTTTTTACTATATTTTTGATCAAATAAATGCAGCCTTCTTTCAAATACATTAACAAAATCTTACTGAGCTATATATATATATATATATATATATATATACACAAACATACAAACATACATACAGAGCTATGGAAAAATTAAGAAACCACTTGAAAATTCTCAGTTTCTCTGGATTTATGATTTATAGTTACGTGTCTGAATAAAACATCATTTTTGTTTTATTCTGTAAACTACTGATGACATTTCTTCTCAAATTTTAAATAAAAATGTTGTCATTTAAAGCATTTTTTTGACAATTGGCCAAAATAACAAAAAAGATGCCATGTCTTCAGACATGTTTTTATTCATTTTTAGACAACACAATACCAATGTTTTAACTTCAGAAGAGTTAAGAAATCTATATTTGGTGGAATAACCCTGATTTTCAATCACAACAAATGAAAACATTTGTTATTTTGACCAAAAAACTCTTACTTTTTTCCATAGCTGTATTTGCACTGTATAATATCTTAATTATTTACTCAGCATTTAATGTTTTAATGTTTTATCTTCAATTAGAGTTGTTATATGTGACAAATAGTGATTAATTCAATTGAGTGTAAGTGGCATCTTGTGTAATTAATTTAATTGGCAGGCCTAAACATATAGTTTTATATATTAGTCATATAGTGAGATCTCTTAGTACAGCACTGCGTCAGTTTCTTTTGTCCTGCGCACTACTCTCTTCTCCATCTGCTGTCTAAGTGCTTACACAACTAGAGCAAGGCAGGCAATGTAGTCATGCAGTCAAACTGCAGCTACATTACCTGTACAACCTCACCTCGCAGCGTTTGAACAGCAAGGGCTTCTTCACATTGGCCTACGAGCATCTGTGAACTATATAAACTCTTGTGTGCTTCTCAGTCTAGTGTCATGACTTATTCACGGTCCCTTTAAAGCAATTCCATGTTTCTGGGCCATTCGACAACACACACCGACATGTTCGCGTGCGACTGCATCCTTTGCTAAAGGCATAAAGCAAAGCATCCAGGCTGCATCCACTACATTCTTAAGCACATCTCTTGGGTGTTTGAGCTCAGAGAGCCGTATAAATTCACATCCATCCATAACCATGACGACAAGAGTATCTGTTGCTTTATATTCTAATGGCTGTGGGCTCGAAAAAAATGCTTGATGCTTTTCAGATGGGTATAATGTATTAGCATGTATAATTCATAGGATTTCCGCAGCTTTTAATCTCCGGCATCAACAAGTATGGGATGCTGGGAATCGCAAGTATTTCCGGGTTTTCCTTGGCTGCGGGAATGCGGTTGTGAGAATGTGGCGAGCACTGCTTTACCTCCTGTAGCGTGTTGGTGATGTGCGGGTCTATCTGGGTGTTTTGTGTGAAGACGAGGCAGGACAGCAGGGCGGCGCTCTCCTCAGGGGCGAGAGGACTCAGTGTGTTCTCAAACAGGAGTTCGGTCAGTAGCAGCTCATGACTGCTGATCTGACACGCCACACG